TCTCATGGAGTTCATTCCTTGGTAATATTTTTGTAGCTAATTTCAGTTACAGCACTGGTTTCATTTATTGTTAATTAATGGCATATTAGAAAACAATTAAATTGTAATTTTTCACTACCTAGCACTCTTTTTTATTCTAACAGTGATTCTAGCTGTTTTTCTTGAGAATTAAATTATCTGAAATTATTCATTATTGTGGCCTTTTTCTTTTTTTGTGTTTCTGTCCTAAAGCATAGTCTACCTTTCTAGAAACATAATAGTGATAGAATGAATTTGTATCTCTGTTCACTATGATGAAAATGATTCCAAGTTTCTAGCACTAAATTTCATACTAGTTCTTAGTCAGTGTACATATTTTGTTCTTTATTTTCCTATTCTGTTAAGATTTCTAATCTGGAATGGGTTATAACTTACCAAATGCCATTTTAACATCTCTAGAAAGTTTGTATATTTTTTTCCTTTGGCCTCTTAATATGATAACAACTTCTACTTATTGATGCTTTACTATGTGCCAAACACTATCCTAAGCACTTTATCCTTACTTCATTTTCTCCTCACAGTAACCTCATAAACAATTGTCTCAATAACATCAAGAAAGAGTTAGCAAATTTTCCTGTAAAGAGCCAGACAGTAAATATTGAAGACTCAACTCTGTCATCATAGCACAAAAGTAGCCATTGACAACACATACACAAATGAACAAGGCTGTGTTCCAACCAAGTTTTATTTATGAAAACATGTGGCAGCCTAGATTGGGCCCCCAGATCACAGTTTGCAATAAACTTAGAAGTTAGGCGAGGTACTCAGAATCACAGCTTGAACTTGTCCAGGGTCATAAAAATAGCAGTATCATATTAATTTTGAATTCCTGGGATTCTTATTTGAAATGGAAATATATAGAAGTTATAAAAATGGATACCATGTTTGATGTAAACTTGCCATATGACTAATAGATTTTATCATATTATGTCTAATCTTCATAATGACCTTGGAAGTATAGTTGCCAGATAAAATACAGGATACCCATTTAAAATTAAATTTCAGATAAACAATGAATAATTGTTTGGTACAAGTATGTCCCAAAGGCATTGTTTGTCTGAAATCCCAATTTGAGCGTTTTTTTCCTGCCAAATCTGGCAGCCCTACTTGGAAGGTAAATGTAAATAATCCTAATTTGCTATTAGGAATCTGAGGCTTAGAGAAGAGATATCTGCATACTCATGTTTATTGCTGCATTATTCACAACAGCCAAAAGGTAGAAAAAAACTAAGCATCCATTCACAGATGAATGGATAAAGAAAGTATGGTGTATACATGAATGGAATATTATTGAGTCTTAAAATAGGAAGTGCTTTTATACACTACAACATGGATGAACCTAGACAACATTATGCTAAGTGAAATAACAAATAAAGACCAAAGTTACAAAAAGACCAATACTGTGTGACTCCACTTATAGTGGAGTAGTTACTCCACTCTACTCTAAAGTAGTTAAACTGATAGAAACAGAAAAGTAGAATGATGGTTACCAGAGGCTGAGAGAAAGGGGTGGAAGGGGATGTTGGGTATGATTTCAGTCATGAAGGATAGGGGTAAGGGAGTTTAGAGATTTGTTGCACAACAATGTATATGTGACTGACACTGTACCACACTTGGACTTTGTGGGGAGGGTGAATTTTATGTGGGTTTTTTTGACAGAAGTTAAAAAATCAAAACAAGGAAAAACAAGATAGAACAAAATGAGAGGATTACTGCTGGAAGATGTTCATCTGGAAATCAGTTTATAAAATTAAATTTTGCAATAAATTGTTTAAAGCTTAAGTTTTTGTATAAAGAAAAGTATATAATAAAAAGAGGACTCATGAGTATGTGGCACAGGGTGAATGTTTTAAAATATTAACTATTACAGTTACTATTCAGAAGTGGTACTTTGGGTTAGATATTGAAGCTAAAGAATGTCAGCATTTGCTGCTGCACAACAGGCATTATTTCCCAAAATTACTCTTTTGAATAATAACATGCAGTCATCAAAAGTGTTCATTCTGAAGCCAGGTAGATTTAACTACTTAAAAGCTGTGTGACTTTGGGCAAGTTGTTTCTCTGCCTCTTTCTCCTCATTTGTAAAATGTGGATAATGAAAGCATCTATCTCAAAGATTTTTTGTGAAGAATAAATGCATTATAGCTATAAAGTGCTTCAAATAGTGCCTGACACAGAGTAATCACTCAATACACCTTAGCTAATTTTGTCAAATCAAACTATCAATACTTATATAATAATAACAACGTGTCATGTTTTCACTCAAAGATACAGCAGTCTTGGTCTCTCATACTGTATTGACTGGATTTTCTCCTTCCTTTTAACACTCCTTCCATAACATAGGGAGCCCATATGATGTGGTTGGTGGAAAAGATGCTATTAGAACTATAAAAAACCTTACAGCTATTATTATACTTAATGGTGAATTATGAAACTTTCCCCTAAGAGCAAAAACAAGTCAAAGATGCTCATTTTCATTTCTATCATCACTGTAAAGCAATGTGGCAAGAAAAAGATAAAGTTTAGAATTTCTTTTATTGGTATTGACAGGATTGTATACACAGAAATCCAAAGTAAGCCATAAATATTTGAATAAATAACTGAATTTATAAATATCACTGGATAAAAGATCAATGTACAAAAAGGAATTGCAATTCTATGTGCTAACCTAAAAATTTCAAAAAGAAAATAAATAAAAATATTTACAGAGCAAAACATACTACATACCTAGAAATAAAGTATTGAATACCTCTACAATTAAAACTATAAAACACTGTTAAAAGAAATTAAAGACAAAGAACTTCCAATCAAAATGGAGGCATAGGTAGATATGCTTTGCTTCCTCACACAACCAAGAGAAGGGCAACAAAAATTTTAAAATTGAACTGCCAGAAAATCGAACTGTATGGAAGTCTGACAACCAAGGAGTTAAAGAAGACACATTCATCCACTGGTAGGAGTGACGGAGACAAGCAGCCAGGGTGGGGAGGACTCGTAGCAACGATTGGCCAGGCAGTGGCTGGTGGACAGGGAGGTCCCACATTCATATGCAGATAAGCTGGGAGGAACAACAGGGGAGCAAGACAGACAACACAACCCAGGTTTCCAGCACAAAAGAAAGCCTCAAAACCTCTGACTGTAAAAATCTGTGAAGGTTGCAGAAACGGGAGAAACTCCCAGCCCCACAGGAGAGTTTGTTGGAGAGACCCATGGGATCCTAGAACATACACAAGCCCACCTACCCAGGAGTCAGCAGCAGAAAGGCCCAATTTCCTTGTGGATAGCAGGGGAAGTGACTGAAAGCAGGACAAGAGCCAAGCAAGTGGCATTGTTCCCTCTCAGATCCCTCCCCAACGTACAGTAACCCTCAAAGCAGCGAGGTGGGTTGCCCTGCCCTGGTGAACATGTAAGGCTCCACCCCTTACAACATAACAGGTATGCCCAGACCAAGAAATATGACCCAAATGAAAGAATAACTCAAAACTCCAGAAACAGAACTAAGCAACAAGGAGATAGTCAACCTATCAGATGCAGAGTTCAGAACACTAGACATCAGGATGCTCACAGAAATGGTTGAGTATGGTTGCAAAATAGATGAAAAAGTGAAGGCTATGCAAAGTGAAATAAAGCAAAATGTACAGGGAACCAAGAGTGACAGGAAGGGAACTGGGACTCATATCAACAATTTGGAGCAGAAGGAAGAAATAAACATTCAACAGGAACAGAATGAAGAAACAAGAATTCAAAAAAATAAGGAGAGGCTTTGGAACTTCAGGAAAACTTTAAACATTCCAATATACAAATCATAAGGGTGCCTAAGGAGAAGAGAAAGAGCAAGAAATTGAAAACTTATTTGTAAAAACAATGAAGGAGCCCTGGCTGGTGTGGAGGAGCCCTGGCTCAGTGGATTGAGTGCCACCTTGTGAACCAAAGGGTTGCCAGTTCAATTCCTAGTCCGGGAATATGCCTGGGTTGCAGGCTAGGTCCCCAGTAGGGGCCATGTGAGAGGCAACCACACATTGATGGTTCTCTTCCTCTCTTTCTCCCTCCCTTCCCCTCTCTCTAAAAATAAATAAATAAATAAAATCTTTTTAAAAAGTAATGAAGAACTTCCCTAATCTAGCAAAGCAAATAGACTTCCAGGAAGTCCAGGAAGCTCAGAGCATCCCAAGAAATTGGACCTAAGGAAGCACACACCAAGGCACATCATAATTAAATTACCAAGATTAAAGATAAGGACAGAATCTTAAAATAGCAAGAGAAAAAGAGACAGTTACCTGCAAAGGAGTGCCCATAAGACCATCAGCTGATTTCTCAAAAGAAACCTTACAGGCAAGAAAGGGCTGGAAAGAAGTATTCCAAGTCATGAAAGGCAAGGACCTACTTCCAAGATTACTCTATCCAGCAAAGCTATCATTTAGAAAGGAAGGACAGATAAAGTGCTTACCAAATATGGTCAAATTAAAGGAGTTCATCATTACCAAGCCCTTATTATATGAAATGTTAAAGAGTCTTATCTAAGAAAAAGATCAAAATATGAACATTAAAATGACAACAAACTCACAACTATCAACAACTGAACCTAAAAATCAAAAACCAATACCAACTAAGGAAACAACCAGAACAGGAACAGAATCACAGAAATGGAGATCACACGGAAGGTTACCAGTGGGGAGGGAAGCAGGGAGAATGGGGGGAAAGGTACAGGGAATAAGAGGCATAATTTGTAGGTACAAAATAGACAGAGGGAGTTAAGAATAGTATAGGAAATAGAGAAGCAAAAGAACTTATATTTACAACCCATGGACATGAACTAAGGGGGCAGGGGCAGGAAGGGTGCTGGTGGGGGTGTGCAGGGCAGAGGAGGATAAAGGGGAGGAAAAAATGGGACAACTGTAACAGAACAACAAATAAAATAGTCTTTAAAAAAAACTTAAAAAAAGAAATTAAAAACATCCTAGGTAAATGTACAATTACATCACATTCATCAATTGGAAGACTCAATAGTGTAAAGATGTCAATTTTATTCAGGTTATTCTATAAAATCAGTATGATGCCAAGCATAGTCCCAGATTTATTTGTAAAATTGATAAGAGAGATTCTAAAATTAATATACAAACAAATGGTGAATAGGGAAGACAAGTGTAGAATCTACTCTGGTTTCTAGATGAGAGTGAAAGCTAGTTGTAAAGAAATAAGAATATTACATGCCTGGGGAAAACAGTGGGCAAGTGAGCCAATCAGATTCAATTGCCATAATCATAATGGAATTGTTCCAAAAGACTATCACTCTTTTCTCCCTGAAAATTCAACCAGGAAAAAAAAGCAGCTTGAATCTTCTGGGGCCCACTGCGAAGACAGAGAGCCTGTCAAGGAGAACAGCTAGTACAGGAAGATGCACAGCCAAGACATTGAAACAGAATTCATCCAGATAATATGTTTTTAGTCCCATGATCCAGCCATGCCTGAAGCCAAGTATACCCAAGGACTTTCCAGTAATCAAAACAATAAATTCCCTTTATTGCTAACAAAATGAAAAGAGTGAAAACACAAGCCTTAGACTGGGAAAAGTTTTCTGCAATATACATATATATAATATACATATTATAACATATATATAATATATAACACATGGCATATATATGTATGTAACTATACAGATACACACATACATACAATAAATTTAGGACAAGTAATCAGAAGGAAATCCTTCCAATTTAAAAAAAAATGATGAAATGCTTTAATAGATACATTCATAAAAGATATCCAAATAGTCAACAAGCACATAAAAATGTACTCAACATCATTACATGTCAGGTAAATGCAAATTAGAACCAAAAACAAGATATTACCACATCTTCTGCTGAATGGCTAAAATTAGAAAGTGCAGACCAGATAAGTGGAATAACTCGAACTTTCATGTATTGCTTTTAGGATTATAAGTGGGATCAACCTTTTTAAAAAAGTGGAATACCTACCAAAACTAAGCATGAAATCTACCCTTGGATTCACTCATTTTATTCCCATGTATAAAGCATTTACCAAGAGAAATGTATTAGTCTGCCAAAGAGCAATTAAAAGGCAAACAGACATTATGGTGAAAAAAGAATCCAAACACATAACTGTACATACTGTATTTTAACATTTATATAATGATCAAGAACAAGCAATCCTAATAAACTGTAACAAAAGTCAAAATTGGGCTTGCCTCTTTGGAGCACTTATTGAGAAGGAAGATGAATGAACTTTCAGGAGTCCTGGCAATGTCCTATTTATCAGGATGTAAACATTATGTGAAATTTCATCAAGCTGTACACTTAAGATTAGCACACTTCATGCACATTAGTGTGTGTGTGTGTGTATATATGTATATATATATATATATCAATAAAACAATAAAAAGTGATTAAGGGAAAGTGATACAGGTATACAGCGCTGCATACCTCAACAACTGGGCCACGTTCTGAAAAATGCATCATTTGGCAATTTCATTATTGTGCAAATATCACAGAACGTACAGGCAATAGAAATTTTTCTGCTCCATTATAATCTTACAGGAGCATCATCAGACATGCCACCTGTTGTTGACTGAAATGTCATATGTGGCACAGGACTGCACTCTTAGAGATAAGGGGAAAATATAATGAAAGGAAAAAGGTTGATAAATGCACTTGAAGCATAAACCAAATAACTTTCATCTTCCCAGATTTTAAAAAAAGTGATAAAATCTTCCTTGTTTGAAAGTGTCAAATATAAATCTTTCTTCGCTAAAATGGATTGGTACCCCGATGCTTATTTCAATTATACCTAATTTTCCTCACTGTCCACAACTCTGCTTGTTTGGGGACCACAGTGAACTTACATAGATGTACTTCCTCCTTGAGCAGAATGACATAATGGAACTAAACTGTGGAGATGACAACAGTCCTGCTCCAAACTGGGGCCAACTCTGTATAATCAGTTGATGTGCCAGAGGGCCTGTAATATCAGCAATGCTAAAACTTGCCAAAAATTTAAGAGGCTGTGAATGGACATGATGGAGAAACTTACAGCAATGTCTATGGAACTGCTGCTTCTAAGGTAACTTAAGTTAAGCACTATATGTTCCACTTGAGCCAATATTAATTGCTGGGGCTAATAATCAGGAAAGTGAGCTGGAACTAGAGCCCACCAGGCACTATATGCATCTGTCTCCCTGTCTCATGGCCTCACTAAACTAAAAGTAAGAGATTCTATCCTCTGCCTTCCAATTCACATACAAACTGTTTATTTTAGACAACTCTAACCTGGAACTGCATAAGGAAATGATTCTGGGAAGTGGGGTCCAGCCATGCCCAAATTAACACAGGGAAGCCAACCCACCCAACTTGACCTCTCGCTTTCTTGTTACAAGGTCTCTTTTTACTCTCAAAACATTGGGTCCAATTCCCAGCCATGAGCAAGAACAAAGAATGAAATACAAAAACAACATATCAAGTAAGACACTTCTTTTAAGATCTTTGCACATTAATTTCTGCTGAAATTACTTATTAGACAGCAAAAGCATTGAACAGTAAAAAATTATTAATTTCAAAAGCTGTAGTTTCACTTAGTAAAAAAAAAGGGGGGGAGAATATTGAATAGGCAATTTCCAGTATCTGCCATACTAGATCAAAATGCAATTACCAATTACAAAAGAAAATTATAAAAGAGGGCCCTGGCCAGGTAGCTCAGTTGGTAAGAGCATCGTCCTGATATGCCAAGGTTGTGGGTTCAATCCCTGGTCAAGGCACATACAAGAATCAACCAATGAATGCATAAATAAGTGTATCAATAAATTGATGTTTCTCTCTCTCTCCCTTCCTCTTTAAAATGAATTAAAAATTATAAAAGAAATTATAAATACCAAAGTGTCCATACCATAATCACTGCACACTTATAGAGAACAGTGAGAGTTAATCAGAAACTAATAAAAAAGGGCCACTCCTGCCTGCACATGAAAAAATACACTCCAGGACTTAGTAATGGAAATAACAATTACATCTGAAGCAAAATAAAAGCACCTCAGAATAAAACATATTAGAGCTAAAAGGAATTAGAGGGAAATCTACCACCTTAAATATTCATATCAGAAAATAAAAACCAGAAATCAATGAGTAAACATTCCACTGTAAGGGTGAGGCACTGATCTTTGCTTCCAGTATGAATTGTTTTGTACACTTATTTCTTATGATTTTCACTTACAAGTGATAATCAGGAAGGCATCACCACATGGTTTACATACAAAGGGTTTCTTCCAGTTGTGAGTTCTCAAATGTCTTCAAACGCATGAGCAACAATGTTGCACATTCTCGCCGTCACAGGATGTCTCCACATGAGACATGCTGCCTGAGATTGAAACTCCTTGCATACATTCTCCTATCCCTTACCTTTACATGCTTTCTCTAGTGTGAGTTTTCACATGTCTTCGAAAGTAGGCAGGACAAACAAAAGCTTTCCCGCACTCCTCACATTCATAGGGTTTCTCTCCAGTGTGGCTTCTTACATGTCTCCGAAAGGATGAGGGACAACTGAAGGCTTTCCCACATTCCAGACACTCAAACGGCTTTTCTCCAGTGTGCATTCGGGCATGTACAGTAAGGTATGAAGAATGGCGAAAGGCTTTCCCACAGTCCTTACATTCATAGGGTTTCTCTCCAGTGTGTGTTCTCATGTGAATCCTAAGAGCTGAAGGATAAATAAAGGCTTTTCCACATTTCTTACATTCATAAGGCTTCTCTCCAGTGTGAGTTCTGACATGTACTGTAAGGTGGGAAGAACTAATAAAGGCTTTCCCACACTCCTTGCATTCATACGGCTTCTCTCCACTGTGAGTTCTCAGGTGTTCTGTGAGGGATGAGGAACGGCTAAAGGCCTTCCCACATTCCTTGCATTCATATTGTATCTTCCCAGTGTGATTTCTCACGTGCACTCTAAAGGATGAGGGACAGCTAAAGGCTTTTCCACATTCCTTACATTCATAGGGTTTCTCTCTACTTTGATTTTTCACATGTGTATTAAGGGAAGTGAGAAGATAGAAGGCTTTTCCACATTCCAGACACTCATAGGGTTTCTCTCCAGTGTGTTTTCTCATGTGGATACTTAAGGAAGAGGGACAATTGTAGGCCTTCCCACATTCCTTACATTTATAGGGTTTATCTCCTGTGTGTGTTCTGACATGTACAGTGAGTTTTGAGGACTCACTGAAGGCCTTCCCACATTCTTTACATTCATAAGGTTTCTCGCCAGTATGAATTCTTATATGTATTATAAGGTGAGAGGAAGAACTAAAGGCCTTCCCACATTCCTTACATTCGTATGGCTTATCTCCACTATGAATTCTTTTGTGTTTGGAGAGTGAGGAGGAGCAACTAAAGGCCTTTCCACATTCCTTACATTCATATGGTTTATCTCCACTATGAATTCTTTTGTGTTCCGTGAGGGATGAAGAACAGCTAAAGGTTTTTCCGCATTCCTTACATTCATAGTTTGTCTTTCCAGTGTGAATCTTCATATGTGCCCTAAAGAATGAAGAACAACCGAAGGCTTTGGTACAGTCCTTACATTCATAAGGTTTCTCTTCAGTGGGAGTTTTCATATGCTTCTTGAAACAAGCAAGAAAATGAAAAACTTTCCCACATTCCTTGCACTGATAGGGCTTGCTTCCAGTGTGAGAGCTGACATGATTCCTAAGAGATAAATGATCTGTGAAGACTTTTTTACATTCATGGCATTCATACAATTTTACCTCGGTAGTTCTCTTGAGTATATTAAGATTTGAAATTTGGCTGAAGGTTTGTCCACACCGATTTTCTTCATTACACCCATAGATGTTCTCCACCACATGACTTCTTTTAAAAATAAAAAGCACATCATTAGTAATAAATACACTTTTATCATTTTCTGTAACTATATCTGTCTTTTGCCCTGTCAGGTTATAAGCTGGAAGTTCCTACAGAGGGCTCTATAAGAGCCAATATTTATCACTGAGTTTTTGACTTACGGAATTTTTCTCATAATTGCTTACATCTGAATTATATGTTAAACATTGAAGATCTCAGTCTCATTTGTGAGGAAAAAATCTTGTGAAAATTCTTTATGAAATTACAATTTTTGACCAAGATTTGTAACATGTTTTTTAAATTTCATGACATTTTAAGATTCTCTTCTGAAGTACTACCTTCTTTTATATGAATGGCACTCACCCCAGATGTCTCTTGTGGTTTTTGTTCTTATCATCAACAGCATGGTATTCCCAGTGTTTGTATAAAATGGATGACCAAGAATCATTCCTTTTGAATCTTACTATTTTCTGCTCATCAGATATTTTTTCTCCATAATTATTTTGTGAAATGACTGACTCACTACTTTTAAGTTGAGTCTCAAAACCTGAAATAAAAGGTAAAGGCACCTATGAGCAAGGGCTTGTGCAGAGCAACTATGTCAAGACTCTAGTGATAACTGCAAGGGTCAAAATACTAAGCAAGTGACTAAGAAAAAATTCCAGAAGATTGAGACCGATGATAACATGAATAGGTTATTATCAGGAGAACAAAGCAAAAAGGAACAGGATAAAATATATATAACCAAATACTAACTTACAAAGAAGAAACATGGAAAGTCTTTCCCAAAAACAAATGTGAAAGGACTAATAAAAAGTTAAACAGTAATCAATGGTATCTTTGGAAAATCTGCCTCTCAAACAAAAGTTTCACCTCGCTTTTATTTGATTTTTTCCGAATGTGATATCCCCCAACCAGGACACTTTCTCCCCAGAATTCTTGCCTTCCTGGCACTGCTCCCGCAGAGGCCCTCCCGTTGTTTTCTCCAGGTCCTCCTCTTGTTTCCACTGGAAGATGAAACAGGGTGTATGCAGAGGATACCCTGTCAATGCAGAAAGGTGTATCACATGAAGGAAAATAATGAGGAACCATAAGCATTTCCATGAGACAAGGCCAAAACTTTGGTCTTCTGATACTATAAAGATGGGGCAAGTATGAATTTAATTGCAACAAAATGTTTGTCAAAAAAATTTTTAAGGGGGGGCAGAGTTGCAACATAGCCATTGATGTCTACAACTGATCTGATGTTCATATCTTCCTCAATATTATTAGAAGTTGGTCTGATACTTATAGCCAGGACATTTTGTTCTCCTACTGAGCATAATCTCACAGAATACCAATCTTAGACAAGGTTACTCTGAGACTATAGTAAAATGAAGTAAGTCCACTTCATAATTTAGTCTAAGGACAGGGAAAAAGGAAAGTCACTGTGCTACCCACAAAATACCCAATAATAGAATTTCCCCACTTTCTCCCAATCTACCCAACTGGGTTCAATCCAACTGGGTTGAACAGTGTTCTTCAAAATTCCATCCAAATAGGTCAGTGAAACAGAATAGAGTGTCCAGAAATAGATCCACAAAAACAGTCAACTGATCTTTCACAAAGGAGCAAAAGCAATACAACGGAAGAAAAAAATAGTCTTTTCAACAAATACTGGAACTAGATATTGACATCCAAAAAATGAATCTAGACACAGACCTTACACTTTTCACAAAAATTGATTACAGACTGAAATTTAAAATGCAAAACTATAAAATTCGTATATGATAACAGGAGAAAAATCTAGATGAGCTAGGGCTTGGCAATGACTTGCTAGATACAACACCAAAGGCATGATCTACCAAAGGAAGAATTGATAAGCTGGGCTTCTTTAAAATTAAAAACTTTTGCTCTGCAAATACAATGTCAAGAGAATAAAAAGACAAGCCACAGACTGTGAGAAAATATTTGCAAAAGACATATCGGATAAAGAACTGTTATCCAAAATATACAAAGAAATTTTAAAACTCAAAAGTTTTAAAAACCCAATTTAAAAAATGGGCCAAAGACACCTCACCAAAAAAGAAATACAGATGGCAAATAAGCATATAAAAAGATGCTCCAGCCCTGGCTGGTGTGGTTCAATGGACTGAATGCCGTACTGTAAAGCAAAGGGCCGCCAGTTTGATTCCCAGTCAGGGCACATGCCTGGGTTGCAGACCCAGTCCCCAGGAGGGGATGTTTGGGAGGCAACCTCACATTGATGTTTCTCTCCTTCTCTTTCTCCCTCCCTTCCCCTCTCTCTAAAATAAATAAATAAACAAACAAACAAACAAATAAGATGCTCCACATCATATATCATCAGGGAAATGCAAATTAAAATAAGAAGATACCACTACACACCTATCTGAATGGCCAAAATCTGGAACACTGATAACACCAAATGCTGGTTAGCATGTAGAGCAACAGGAATTCTCATTCATTGCTGGTGGGAATGCAAAATGGTATAGCCACCTTAGAAGACAAACTGTAGGTTTTTTATAAAACTAAACATATAATTCCCATATGATCAGACAATTGTGCTCTTCAGAATTTATCCAAAGAAGTTGAAAACATGTCCACACAAAAGTTGCACACAGTTTTACAGCAGCTTTATTCATAACTGCCAAAACTTGGAAGCAGTAAAGATGTCCTTCAGTAGGTGAATGGATAAGTAGACTGTGGTGCATCCAGACAATGGAATATTATATTCAGTGCTAAAAAGAAATAAGCAATCAAGCCATGAAAAGACAATGAAAGAACTATAAGACATGTTACTAAGTGAATTAAGCCATTGTAAAAAGCTGATATATTGTATGATTCCAACTGTATGGCATTCTCCAAAAGAGAAAACTATGGGCACATTAAAAAAGATCAACAGTTTTCAGGGATTAGAAAGGAAGGAGGGATGAATCAGCATGGCAACAACAATCTTTGAGACAGTAAAACTACTCTGTATAATATTATAACAGTGGGCATATGTTATTATATATTTGTCCAAACCACAGAAGGTGCAACACCAAGAGTGAAGCCTAATGTAAATTATGGACTTTGGGCAATAATGATGTGTCTGTGTAGGTTCACCAATTATACCTAATGTCCTGCTGTGCTGGGGGATGCTGACAGCAGGGAAGGCAGTGTGTGGGGGGGATAAAGGAGTATAAGGGAAATCTCCGCACCTTTCATTCCATTTTGTTGTAAATCTAAAGCCACTCTAAAACTAAATAAATATATTATTTTAAAAACTTCACATCCACCTAGAACCTCAAAGTGTTGCCTTATTTGGAAATAGGGTCATTGCGGATGTAACTAAGTTAAGCTGAAATTACACTCGAGTAGGGTGAGCCTTAAATCCAAAACCTAGTGCCTTATAAAGAGGGAGAGACCTAGAGACAGAAGAAGTCTGTTTGAAGATGGAGGCAGGGATTAGAGTGATGCAAGTCAAGAATACCAAGGATTGCTGGCTACCACCAGAAGCCAGGAAGAGATAAGCGGGACTTTTTCCACAGAACCTTCAGAAGAAGCATGGCCCTGCTGACACCTTGGTTTTGGACTTCCAGCTCCAGAAATGTAAAAGAATATGTTTCTTTTGTTTTTAGTCACCCAATCATAGCACTTTGTTACAAAAGGCCTAGAAATCTAATATAGCCTGCTTCCATATACCAATCCCCAAATCACCCAACCAAAGTTCTAATACCCTCTTAATGTGACACCCCGAAGTTCCCTAACATCATGTTCTCCCTCATTGCACTGAGTAATAAACCCAACCTGTTTAACTTTAGGTGTGTTCCTGATGGTCTTTGGGTAAATAGCAATGATGTCAGCAAAATTCTCAAAAGATCCCAAATGATAAACCTCCCTGTGCTCCTAAGTAAACCCTGAAGTCTTCACCCACACTTTCAGCACTTAATAAGCCTGAGGTTTTCAACCACAATAAAAAGTCAGTTCAACACACAGATGTTTATTTTCATGGTGAAGCCATTCTAAGTTGCTTGGGGTCAGTGACCACTCTGTCTTGTTTACCAATGTGTTCCAATTCCTCAGCCTGAATCCTAGAATAAGAAATAGGGTTGATTTGTCAGATTTGTTTTCTAAACAACTAAATAAAAGAATGTTGCTCATTCTTACCTAATGAGGCCAGGTTCTGGAAGTTCTCCAGCATCACCTCTCTGTAGAGGCTCCTCTGAGCAATATCTAGCAAAGCCCACTCCTCCTGGCTAAAGTCCACAGCAACATCCTCAAAGACCACTGAGTCCTGAAATATCACACATACTCTGTTCAGAAAGGTACCAACTCCCAAATGTGTTCAGGAGGATGCACAATGCTGAAAATACATGGGAACTGAGAATCCATTCATAGGAAGTTCTAAAGACTTTATGGTCTCCTAACATTGATGGGATGCAGCCATCAGATCTCTTTCTTTCTTCCCACACATCCTTCCTGGGAGATTGAATCCTGTCTCCAGACTTAACACTTCTAAAATGCTCAATCTATCTCTCCACGGTGTGATGGTAAATTATTCCAGTCTTATAATGATCCAGAACAGTCCAGAGCATATAGCAAAAATGAGAGAAATGCTCTAAAATTGAATTACAGCAGGCCCTCAAATGACTTAATTTTACTATAATGTTGATGAGATGCCGTGGGAACTTAACACTTGTTTATATCAATTAGCCTATGGTGAAATTGGTTTCATTATCTGTTGTTCTGCTTAAAGTTGCAGAGCCTATCAATAATGTTGAGGACATACAGAATTTCCACACTGACACCAACAATTCCTTGTTAAAGAAACAATTTCAATTGCTTCCTTCTCTCCCACTATAGCAAGCAGCACAACATGAAACACTGGGGCAAATCTGGATGAGGTTTTAATGAATAAAAACACACTGAAGGAAAGGAAGCTTTTCATTTTTAAATAAACCCAGGAGCCTGCAACCTTCAACCCAGGCCCCCAGGTGCCCATATTTTCTTATACTCTAAGCCAGGGGTCAGCAAACTATGACACACAGGCTAAATCCAGCCTACCACCTATATGTATAAGTCAAGTTTTATTGGAACACAATAAAACGTGTACACATTGTATATAATGTCTATGGCTGCTTTCACACTACAATGACAGAGTTGAGTTCCAACAAAAACTCCGGCCTGCAAAGCCTAACATACTTACTCTGTGGCCCAACTCAGAAACAGGTTGTTGATCCTGCTCTAAACAATTAGATCGATGAACTGGTGAAATGGGAATATTCTTTTGGAGAATTATTAGCTCTTACCTACCTGTGTCATGTCTTTCTGTAACTCAGTAGCTCTTCTTTCTTCATCCATGTTCCCTTCATGAAGAAAGGCAAAATATTGAGAAGTTACAGGTGAGGCAGGAGAAAGATGACAAGATAATCTAGGTTTCCCCATAATATTCACACTTAAGAACCTGGGTGCTGCAGCACATTATGGTGACCACTCCCCTCAACAAACACACACACACACACACACACACACACACACACATGCACATGCATAAGCCCAAGATAACTAAGCAAACATACACCGATCTTGTAAGAAAGTCAAGCAATCTTAACCTCATCAAGAGCTAAAAAACTGTGCTTTGGCTCTTGTTGATCATTTCTTTTAAAGGTTAAGACTCCCATTTTACAAGTTAGCTGAAGTCTAAAAGCTTAGCTATCTATTTGCCCATGAAAATGGAAAACATAAAAAGTATCAGACAATAACTTCAACCTTAAGAATATACTAAGAATATACACTCTGTCTCAAACCCAAGGAAGCACTGACTTATATACTAGACTTCTTACTTGTGCACCCCTTGACAGGCCAACAGGCATTACTGCTCAGCCCCTCATCACTGGACCCACCCCCATGGGCCGCAGGGTTCCTGAAACCTGGTTTTTTGAGAAAGAGCATCCGCTGACTAAATTCCACACACAGGAGGCAGAGAAGACTGCCACGCTGTAAGTCTCATGCTATATTTTGCCTTTACAGAAGCAGCCAAAAAAGTATACCTAAGTGAGCAATGAGTGCCATCTCCAATAGCAATATCTCCAGTGCTTTGCCCAAATTTCAAATAATGAAAATGCAACTGTTTCTTCCACTGCAGTGGATCCAGTATGTACTTTAAAGCCAATAAAACGTGTGATATTCTTTACTATATTAATAACATTTTCCACTGAGCGATGATGATGTGAGAATGACTTTGCAAAGAGATGCCCACACCTTTGCAAAAAACTTATTTATTGTTCATGAAACTCTGCAAATCAGATATATTACAACTAATTTATAGTTGAGAAACCTTAGAAAGGGTGAATTAACTACACACTCAATATTACCAAAATTAGAAAGCTGCTCTGTCAGGGTGTGTATGTAGGTCTATTTATCTTCAAAGTCTAAATGCCCCGTTGAGTATATTTCTGAATATATACCTTACAACTTAGCTACTAGTGATGCCCTTGTTCCCTGACATTACCAGTATCTGGCCTAGAATTCATTGGGCACACTATGCAGAGTAGACAAGTGAAATATTCCATTCAAATGTTTTATTTTTGAGCTCCTTCTCTTGATTATGACCGATGTGTTGAGTAAAGACGCTTCCTTTAAGGCCCTTACCTGCTGCTCCTTCAGTGCATACTCATTTAGGTAATATTTCTCCTGATCCAAAACAGAAAAATCCTGGATTTCATAATTTTTTTTGGAAGGGCAGTAAATTAACAAAATATCAGGTAGTGGTATATATGCTACATAAAACTGCAGCACATTATGGAAATAAGGAGAAGCACACATATTTATTTTAGCGAGTGAAGACTACTCATGTGGCAGAACAGAAGCAGAAAATTAAAATAACTATTTCAGATGACACTGGACATGCATAGCTGGTGTGGTATATATATTTATATGCTTGTTAGTATCATCAATTCCCAGAGAAGAAAAAATGAATATCAAGGGACTACCCACTGATTTATAAGGTTGGGAAAAGAACAGCATAAAGAGTTAGTTAGAAAGAAAAGTGAAAACAAGGCACAATTAATGATACTTAAAAAAAACTAATAAACAGAATCAGAAAAGCTAGTAATGTGTCCTTTAAAAACTAACGAGGTTGACAAACCCATAGCAATTTTCTTTAAGAACAACAGAGAACAGACAAAAGGAGTTAGGAATAAGTCATAATTACAGATGTTACAGGGAGGCTACAACAAAAAAAATAAGGGAACAGATATGAAATTGTACAGGTAATGAATGAATTTCGAGAGAAGTACAACTTTCCAGCAATGATCTAAAATAAATATAGCACTTGATTATATCCAGTCACTAAAGGAAAAAATATGATTTGTTTAAAACATACCCACGAAGGAAACAGAAGTTACAAACTGTTTTACCAGTAGGCTCACTAAATAAGGAAAAAATTCAAAATTCCATTGTAGGGGTACAACTCGGAAAAGAAAAGATCTCATACACATTACTACAAATAACATATTAGTTTAGTCAAGAAATGAATAATCACAAACCAAGTTCATTTTGTCCTAACAATAAAATGTGATTGAAAATGGAATCATCGATTAATATAATTCACCACATTCACAGAAAAAGATATGATGTATTCCCTTAGATACAAGCTAGTGACTGATCTATAGTAATGTCCATTGGTGATAACAATTTAACCCACCAGAACTACAAGGGAATATGTTTTATTGGAAAAGAATCTACAAACACCTACAGTAAACATCCTATTTAGTGGTGAAGTGGCAGCATAAGTCCCTCTGGGATCTAGAAGACAAGGGTACAAATTTTATGTTATTCTACATTGAACTGGATGGAGGTCCTGGCAAGTGCACTAAAGAAATAAAATGAAATAGAAGGTACGGGGGGCGGGGGTGGGGGGGGAAGAACGCTGAAACTGAGAGATGATCACACTTTTATGAGTGAAATTTAAAAAAAAATCTACAGACAAATGATTAAAATGTATAGCTGGACTCGGTGAAGCAGGTTACAAAGATACTTATTAATCTGTCCACTTTTATGCACCTGAATATAATTTAGCAAATGGATGCCCACGGCAGGGTAAAACTGAGGTTAAATAGTATCTCTAGCACCGGGAGGAGAGGTGGGGACTTAGTTCAGGCAAATGCCAGCCCGTGCTCACCGAACACGCCGAAATCCACAGATCAGCGTAGACAACAAGGTGAGGCTCTCGTCTCCGTGACCTGAATAGCAGGGATGTTTTTCCTTTTTGGAAAGATAGCAAAGGACGCTTTGGGAGGTGAATTAAATACGTGGGTAGTTCTCCAACTCTACTTTGCTCTCTTTCCGACTGCTGCACCCAGCCTGGAGTTTCCGATTCAGTGAGTTTGGGATGTGCAACAGCCACCAGTGCAGCGGTCCAGGGCTCTGAGGAAACGCCGAGGCGTCGGAGGCCTAGGGCGCGGGGGTCCAGGCGGCGGCCGCCCTTTGACCGCTGCCCGCCCCCCAAGGCCGAGCTCTCCGCCTCCAGTGCAGGGACCCGGGAAAGGCCAGACTGAACTCCGGTAGGCTGCGGACCCAGGTGAAAACTGACCTCAGGGCGCGAGGGTACTAGAGAACAGTGCCCACGGCTCGCGCAGGCGCAAAAGTACACTTTAGCTTCCGGTTTTTGCGCCACGCCCAGCGAAAGGGGCGGGACCTCAGAAGCTAGAAAATCGGGATGGAGAGGCGGAGGGACCGGGAGGTATCCGGAGGGACTGAAGGGGACGGGAGAGCTGGACTGCGGCGCTTCCAGCCTAGAGTGAAGTTTCCTCCCAGGACAGACGCTGTTGGGTCCTGGCACCGGATTAGCTCAGGAGCTGAGAATAGACGGAGGTGGGGCGGGATCAGGTCAGTGGGGCGAGGCTTGGCTGACAGGTCCTGTAGGGCGGCACTTAGTTAAATATTCAAAACAGTGGGGTTTAAGGTGGGGCGGGGTCGAGGGGCGGGACTGAGGTAGGGCTAGAGGTGGGGTTAGGCTCCTCTATCCAAGCTCTAAAGAGACAGAGATCAAGACAGAAAATTTAAGCCTATACCAATCCATGAGATCTCCCTTCTGTTCATTCAGTCCTTTCATTAGGCCTTTAGTGTTTCCTTGCATTGCTTTATTGATAATTGCTCATGTAGAGGAAGGATATTAATAATTATTTTTGTCGGTTCACATACCTGGAAACCTTGCGGACCACTAATATTTGCCCATTCGTTATTTTGGACTTAAACTATAAATAAAATTTTCTGTGTATATATTTTTCTTGTTCGAATATTAATGCGTCTTTTTTCTTCTTGTTTGTGCGGTGCCTCTCAAACTATGGTATAAAGCCAAAAAGAAATAAAGCATTCTTGTCTTGGTCAGTAATGATTATCAAGCTATTGTAGGTTGTGGCCTTTATTAAATTAATGAAGTCCCTTTTAAATCTGGTTTATGAAAATGTCAATTTCTGATTGTTATTAAATGTTTATACATCTATTGAATTGATAACTTTGCTCCTTTAACTTACTTTATGACATTATATCTGTATAAAATATTTAATTTTATATAGGCCAATAAGTCTATACTTTTATTTTTTTAACTTTATTTTTATTGTTTACACTATTACAGTTACCCCATTTTTCCCACTTTGCCCACCTCCACTCAGCCCCCACTCCCTCCCTCAGGCCATTAGCACAGTATTTTCTGTCTATGGGTTATGCATATATGTTTTTTGGCTAATCCCTTTACCTTCTTTTATCCAGTCCTTCCTTCCCCTCTTCCCTTTGACAGTTGTTAGCCTGTTCCTGGTTAATTAATGGGATAAGTCTCTCACATTAATGTGTCAACAGCAATCAAGTCTCAACTACAAGGGAAGATGTATACAGCCCACATGGGGCTGGGGTGGGTGCTACTGGAGTGCCTAGCTTGGGTGATCAGGGAGGCTGAGCCAGTGGACCCTATAGGACACCTACTATATTAGGCCACTCTATCAAGCCCAAAAGATGTAGCAGCTCTACCTCATACATAGAAACAAACACAGGGAAGCTGCCAAAATGAGGAGATGAAGAAACCCATCCCAAAAGAAAGAACAAAACAAAACTCCAGAAAAAAAAACTAAACAAAATGAAGACTAGCAATATACTAGATGCAGAGTTCAAAACACTGATTATAGGGATGCTCAATGAACTTAGGGGAAGAGTAATTGAACTTGGAACTTCAACAGCATTAAAAAAAGGACATGGAAACCATAAAAAGGAACCAATCAGATAGGAAGGATACACTAACTGAAATAAAGAATAATTTACAGGAGATCAACAGTAGAGTAGATGAAGCCAAGAATCAAATCAGTGACTTGGAATATAAGGAAGCAAAAACACCCAATCAGCACAGGAAAAAAAAATCTCCCCCCAAAAATAGTGTAAGGAGCCTCTAAGACAACTTCAACCATACCCACATTCACATCATGGGAATGCCAGAGGAGAAGAGAGAGAGCAATAAATTGAAAACCTATTTGAAAAAAATAATGACAGAAAACCCCTAACCTGGTGAAGGAGATAGACATACAAGTCCAAGAGGTACAGAATCCCAAACAAGATGAACCCAAAGGGGCCTACATCAAGACACATCATAATTAAAACACAAAACATTAAAGACAAAGAGAGAATCTTAAAAAGTAGCAAGAGAAATGCAGTTAGTTACCTTGTCAGCTGATTTCTCAACAGAAACTTTGCAGAAGTTTCAGGATTGGCAAGAAATATTCAAAGTAATGAAAAGCAGGGACCTACAACCAAGAATACTCTACCCAGCAAAACTATCATTTAGAATTGAGGGACATATACAGTTTCCCAAGGAAGAAAATACTAAAGGAGTTCATCACCACCAAACCAATATTACATGAACTGTTAAAGGGTCTTCTTTATGGACAAAACATTACAAAAATTAAAAATATGAACAATAAGATAGCAATAAATACATATCTACCAACAAATGAATCTGAAAAAACAAACTAAGCAAACAAGAAGAACAGAAACAAAATCATGGATACAGAGAACATTTCAATGGCTGCCAGATGGGATGGAGTTGAGGGGGATGGGTGAAAAAGGTGAAGGGATTAAGTACAAATTGGTTGATACAGAATAATCACGGGGGTGTAAAGTACAGCATAAGGAATATAGTCAATAATATCTAATCACTATGTATGGTGTCATATGGGTACTAGATTTATCAGAATAGTCACTTAGTAAGTTATATAATGTCTAGTCACTGGGATATACACCTGAAACTAATATATCTAACTGTAATCAAAAAATAAAAATGATTTAAATTTTATAAATCAATAAATAAAAACTCTTTAATACAAAAACAACCAAAAAAATGGTTTCTGGGTTTCCTAGCATGCTTTTAAAAGTCTTCCCAAACTGTAGAGCATAAATATGTTTTCCTAATTTTCTTCCAAATTTTATTATTCCTAAACCTTTTCAATCTTTACTCCTCCAGGGATGTATTGTGGCACATAGTATGAGGTAAAGGTCTATTATGTTAAAAAGGCACAAATGAACCCTGGCTGGCATAGCTCAGTGGATTGAGCATGGGCTGCGAACCAAAGCATCACAGGTTTGATTCCCAGTCAGGGCACATGCCTGGGTTGCAGGCCACAGCCCCCAGCAACCACACATTAATGTTTCTCTCTCTCTTTCTTTCTCCCTCCCTTCCCTCTCTAAAAATAAATAAATAAAATCTAAAAAAAAAAGAATATACTTAAAAAAATAAAGTGTAAATTCGGAGAAAAAAATATTTTAGAAAAAAGGCACAAATGGACTCTGTGTTTTGACCCCCACCTGTTTCTTTCTTCATCACAGGCCAAGACCCATGAGCTCGAAAGCCTGCTGACACCAAACTCAAATTTTTATACATCCATTTATTTTTAAATAGGCTAAAAATAAGGCATATTTTAAGCCATTTAGAGTCTGACTGCTTTGCATACCCTGTGAAACTTCATCCAGCATTTGTTGAAGATTGATTAAATAGAGTCTTGTGGTTTTAAGACCCCAAGCTGCTATGGCCCCTCAGGGCTCTCTGAATCAGGGACTCCCCTCCCTGGGCTGGGGAGCAACATCAACTGAACATGTAAGCCCCCTCCCACATTCCCCTTTCTCCCAAGGGTTTCATGCCCTCCTCTTCTTTCCAACTGGGGGCCCCTGTGTCATAAGCCTCTGGATGGTCTTATGCTGTGAAGCAGTTCTCCTCTCTTCCTACCTGGCCCAAGTGTCACACTGCCAAAGAAAAAACAGTGTCAGAAAGTACTTAAAGCAGTAAAAACACCCTGCAGACACTGAGTGGAGCCTCCCAACCACCACATACATACCACTAATTTTGTTTGTGGTATGTCAAGACTGATGATGCCACACACCAAGAAGGGTGAAAAGGCTTATTGTATTACAAATGCCCCTTGGATCAGCAAGGTGAAATAACTATTACTAAATGGTCATCAAGCAGCAGTTTTTGAATACAATAGAGGCAAATGGTGCCAGGATCAAAACTCACAGCACTGGAGGCATTATGACCTATTGTAGACTTCATAGCCAAGAGCTTACTTATTATTTGTACCAGCCTCTGCAACACTCCTAGCCTCTTTTTTAAAAATGGGGGTAAGTATTGTTTTGTATAAAACTTAGGTCTGTAAATTGTATTGGATGCCCACATTTCCTGTGGCCCCCAACCCCAATGCTATTCTGGCTTTGACCCCTAAAATCAACACATTTCATGCTAGGAGGTCTCTGTTCAGCCTCCTCTAGCATTCCTTTACAGCCTATTCCCAATACCTTTTCACTTTCATGTGGCAAAACAATACACCTGCACTCTGATGCTACAGGCCTTCACTAAAGGCCCTTCATACTTCTTTCAGGTTCTCAGCCATAATTGTCACGGACCCACACATGCCAGGGACCCACATTGCAGTTGTTCTGCCCAGTGTCACTCGAACCAATAGAATAAAAGTGTGTTTGGTAAAGCAGATCAGAAACTTTATTCTTTGACCAAATTCCTTTTCCAATCATGGAGAATTGGGAAAATCTTAGAGTTGGGGGACAATTAAGCAGATGCAAGGGTGGAAATCTCCACTAGAGAGTTCCAGAATTTCCTAGGGAGCATGCTCAGTTCCCAGACATTCTGGGGACATGCCTAGCCATACATTGCATGCCTTATTTTAATATTAAATCTCCACCTCTGGGTGTTATTTTTCAGTATGCTAGTAAAGAAGTTTGTCAAAAGGTCACTTGGGAAAGGGTTTCAGGCACCATCTTGGATCTTTCCAGGGCAACCTGATTTCTCAGGTTCTTACCTGCTTTCTGACCACAAGCTTAGCTACTCTCCCTGGAATTTTTTTCTTTCTTTTCTTTCCTGGTTTATGACCACAAGCTTAGCTACTCTCCCTGGAATTTTTTTCTTTCTTTTCTTTCTTTCTTTTTTGTTAATGAGTTCAGCCTGCTTTTGTCAAGAGATGTATTGGAGAGAATACAATAAAGTTAGTAGAAGTTCAAAGACTAATAATGTAGTGGGGCAACCCAGTGACATAATCTCCCACATTTACAACCTCCCTCTTCTTCTACATTAATTCTAGTTGTAAATGACTTACCTTCAGCTGATCTAACCTCTTCTCAGCAGGAATCTCTTTATCTCTGGAAAACTTTGGCTATATAAAGACATAAAGTCAACAAGGATAAATTACAATACAATCAGACTGCAGGTTCACCAGCCAATGACAACCCTGGGAAGCAAATCCCTCACACCAGAGAATTAGATATTCAAAATTCCCTCTCTTTTTACCAAGTCAACTTAGAAGATTCCTAAGATGTATTGTGAACTGCATTGCCAACTTAAATAATCTGCCTCCTTCTATGTTGTGACTAATGACACCCCTGAATTGCTGCTGTGGGATGTCACTGCAGAGATAGCCTTTGGCCAACTTAAGGCCACTACTGAGAATTCTCCCAAATTACAATAAGCTATGTTCTTTTTCCATTAGTATCTGAAATTGATGATCAAGCTCTTGTACTTTTAACTTAAAAATGTAGTGAAAATCAGAGACCCATTGGGCATTCCACCTGCTCTCCAAACCCAGTAGCTAAAGAATCTCCCCCTCAGCCCCACAGTTAGAAGAAGCCATCTCAGATTTAAATTTACCGCCACTTCTTCACCTCTAGTATAGTATCAGAAGACCAGACTGAGATGCTGTGTAGCGCTTGCTCCCTCTCGCTTAACTGCAATTTGCATCTTCCTTCCCAGGTAAGAGAAGTCATAGGAAGGTAATCTACACGGAAAAGCTGAAACACGAATCTGTGTTGCGGTATGAAAAGGTTAAGTGCCATAGATGGCGACTGTATTCATCATCTTCTTGGGGAAAGATTAGTAACAATGGTGCAAAGAACAGTAAGGTGCATTCAAGTATGCAGCAAAATTTTAAAGTGATACTGACTGACGGGAACTTCACAGGAGCTTAACCGGTCAGGAGGGTCTATGCGAAGAGCTAGGGCTTAGGAAGTTCTCACACACTATGTCATCGGGGAAACCCTACAGGAAGAACTGTATGTTTATAATATAGTTGTCTGGTTCTAATTTCCCCTTCCCTTAAGTTCTTTTTCCCTTGTACGAATACCCCTCCATCTTCTCAAGCAGTATACATGGCTAGCCACGTCTGCATGCACCGGATTGCAACCCTTTCTCTCCCCGGCCCCTTTCCCCAATAAATTCTTTTTGGTGATGAAATAACTAGTGATATTATTTTTCAGTCTACAAAGCAATTGCTTTTCATGTAAGACGAGTAAGAGGCATGGGTCAGGGAGGAAAATAAACCACCGCCGGGGCGTCCTCGGTGCTCCAGGTCATATGTAGCCCTCTAACCCTCTCCGTGGGCTGTTGAAAGCGGCGACTCCCGGGTCAGTCCAAACCTCCAAGGCTCCGCCCCTTACGCTGACCAAGGAGACCGAGCACGTCTGCGTGTGGGCGTGCACAAGGTGACGGCCATGTTTACTTTGAGCTGCGGCCGGCGTCTCAGGTTTGGGTAGGCTGGGGTCTCTGGAGGCTTTCGTCGCGTGCTGGTGGCCCTTCGTGCCTCCGGTGGACGCTGTGGGGCGATTTCCCCTTCATAGAGCTTGGCTCGCAGGGCTTCGGGCAGCAGCTTAGGGAAGGGGTGGGTTGGCCTCCTCCGCTTTCCGAAAGAGCCCCCCAAATCCCCCTTTGTGCCCTTCAGAAAGAAAAGCATCTCTCTGTCATTGGCGTTGCAGACTTCGGCCCCAGCGTCCCCACCAGCCCGGCAGTTCGTTCCGTCGGTCCCCGGGACCACTCCGTGGGAATGCTCCGACGTGCGTGTATGTTATTGAAGTTTGGTAAGTGACATTCCAAAGGAAAGAGAACCTTTTCCTGGTTGTTGGGGAAGCACGTGTGTTGGATGTAAATAAATTCGTGAGTGAATGAATGACTAAATAGCGCTTTGACCACAGAGTAAAAGCGGGCTGACTGCTCTGATCGGAAAAGTCTGCTCCTGTCAGAGCCCTGCAAGTCTCCAAAGCTTTAAAATGGGTGAGTCTCTGGGAAGAAATAGAGCGCAAGCTGATCTCTGCTAGTAGGAGAAGTTGGAATTGAATTAACCCTAAGTTTGAGTTTGGACTGGTGGATTGTTCTCCCAGGTACTCATTTTGAAATTCTTATCTGAAGAAAATCTGCATGTAGCGTCATTAAAACGAACGTCCACGAATCCTTTATCTAGATTCACTAAGTGTTAAGATTTGTCTCATTAGTCTTTTCTGGTACAGATACTTGTGATGATGAGCCATTTAATGCTAAATTAAAAGACATTCACTTCACCCTTTGCACAGCCCTTTAAATAATGAGGGCTGTATCCTTCAAAAACAGAAAACTCCATTATCCACCCAAGAAAATCAAATTTCTCCAGCTTCCGAGGAGTATGTATTAAGAGTTGTCAGGGTTTTTTTGGAGCTAGGAGCCAAACAAGATTCATACATTGCATTTTGCTTTTCTGTCTCTTTAATCTATTATACCTAAAACCTTTCCCTGCATTTCTTAAAATTTAATTTTGGTTCTTGAAGATTCCAGGAGAGTTATACAGGGGTGGGCAAAAGTAGCTCTACAGGTGTAAGTGACATTGTAAGTGACGATTTAGAGTTGTAAGTAAGAATTCAGTTCCTTGGTTGCGTTAGCCAGCCAGTGGCTACCAAGTGATACTGCACAAGTTTAGAGACTTGAAAATTTCTTAGGTGATGTGTACTTCATATTGTATCTCATCATGAGACACTCAAATGCAAGTTGTCCCACTGTTTATTAATGATGCTAAGCCACATTTTTCTTTATGGTAATCACAAAGAAATAGGGTGACGCTCGATTCCTCAAAGCCTTTCACCCAGTGGTTTTAGCATCACTTGCTGATTTTTGCCTTGACCAGTTTTTATAATGGGGTATACAAATGTTTTTTCAAATTGTTATTCCTTCTCCATTATTTAGCTGGCAGTCTTCTGTGAAGAGGAGCTTTCCTTCCCCACTCTTCCCCCTTCTATACTTTTTTTCTTTTTGTAGTATCACAACATATCCTTGGACTTTTCTTTCATTTACTATACATATTATAATTGGTTACTGTCATTCATTTTGATGCTCAAATTGTCCTAAATTTGGTCAGGGGCAGTCCTTTTGATTTGGTTCCTGTGTCCGTTTGACACAATTCTGTTCATCTTTGAGTGCAAAATAAACCCCCAGTTCACTTTGTATTTTCCTGTTTCAATGCTGGAATCAATGATTTCGCCAAAGAGCTTTTTGTTCAGACCATTATGTATCTCAGTTAACCCTGTTATCTGGGACCCATTGGAGGACATAAAGGTTCTATCAAATGCTTTTTGCAAAAGCCCAGCATTGAGTATTCTTCTTTTTTTAAGTATGTTTCATTGATTATGCTATTACAGTTGTCCCATTTTCATTCTCCCCTTTATTCCTCTCTGCCCTGCACTGCCCACCACCACCACCCACCCCTAGCATTCCCCCGCTTTAGTTCATGTCCATGGGTCCTACATATGAGTTCTTTAGCTTCTCCATTTCCTATACTATTCTTAACCTCCCATTGTCTATTTCCTACCTACCATTTATGCTTCTTACTCCCTGTGTCTTTTCCCCCATTCTCCTCCCTCCCCCACCCTGCTGATAACCCTCCATGTGATCTCTATTTCTGTGATCTTTCCTGTTCTAGTTGTTTGCTTAGTTTGTTTTTGTTTTTTTAGGTTCAGTTATTGATGGTTGTGAGTTTGTTGTCATTTTACTGTTCACAGCTTTGATCACCTTTTTCTTAGATAAATCCCTTTATCACATCACATCATATAATGAGGGGCTGGTGATGATGAACTCCTTTAACTTGACCTTATCTGGGAAGCACTTTATCTGCCCTTCCATTCTAAATGATAGTTTTGCTGGATAGAGTAATCTTGGGTGTAGGTCCTTGCCTTTTTATGACTTTGAATACTTCTTTCCAGCCCTTTCTTGCCTATAAGGTTTCTTTTGAGAAATCAGCTAATAGTCTTATGGGAACTCCTTTGTAGATAACTGTCTCCTTTTCTCTTGCTGCTTTTAAGATTCTCTCGTCTTTAATCTCAGATTATGTAATTGTGATGTGCCTTGGTGTGTGCTTTCTTGGGTCCAATTTCTTTGGGACTCTCTGAGCTTCCTGGACTTCCTGGAAGTCGGTCCTTTGCCAAATTGAGGAAGCCCCCCACCCCCACCCCGTCATTGTTTTTCTCCAACAAGTTTTCAGTTTCTTGCCCTTCCTCTTCTCCTTCTGGTACCCCTACAATTTGGATGTTGGAACATTTAAAGATGTCCTGGAAGTTCCTAAGCCTCTAATTTTTTTTTAATTCTTGTTTCTTCATTCTGTTCTGGTTGAATGTTTATTTCTTCCTTTTGCTCCATATTGTTGATTTGAGTCCCGATTTCCTTCCTGTCACTCTTGGTTCCCTGTACATTTTGCTTTATTTCATTTTGCATAGCCTTCACTTCTTCCTCTATTTTGTGACCATACTCAACCATTTCTCTGAGCATCCTTATTACCAGTGTTTCGAACTCTATGTCTGATAGGTTGGCTCTCTCTTCATTGCATTGTTCTATTTTTGGAGTTTTGATCTGTTCTTTCATTTGGACTGTATTTCTTTGTCTTGGCACACCTGTTATGTTGTAAGGGGCAGAGCCTTAGGTATTCGTCAGGGTAGGACAACCCACGTCACTATGTTCTGGCACTGTATGTGGGGGAGAGGTCCAAGAGGGAACAGTGCTGCTTGCTCAGCTTTCTGCTGGCTTTCAGTCACTGCCTCCACTTCCCACAAGCAAATCGGGCCCTTCTGGTGCTGATTCCTGAGTGGGTGGGTTTGTGTATGTTCTAAGACCTGGTGGGTCTCTCCAATGAACTGTCCTATAAGACTGGGAGTTTCTCCTGTCTCTGCAGTCCCCACAGGTTTTTACACCTAGAAGTTATGAGGCTTTCTTTTCCCACACTGGAAACCTGAGATGTGTTGTCTGTCTTCCTCCCCAGTTGTTCTCCCAGTTTATCCGCACACAAATGTGGGACCTCCCAATCCGCCAGCCACTGCTTTGCCATGTGTCCTCTCCACCCTGGCTGCCCATCTCCGCCCCTCCTACCAGTCTGGACGAATGTTTCTTCCTTACCTCCTTGGTTGTCAGACTTCCATACAGTTTGATTTTCTGGCAATTTTTTGTTTTTAAATTTGTCTTTGTCCTTCTTTTGGTTGTGCAGGGAGGCGAAGTGTATCTACCTATGCCTTCACCTTGGCCAGAAGCAGAGCCCAGCATTGAGTATTCTAAGCAGTGAAATGTGTGTGTTGTTTATCAGTAATGCCTGTGACTCTAAAGGGAATAAGGAGTGTCCTTGTATTGTAGTCTTAGCTATATGTAAAGATGTGTGATTTTGATATGTATTGTGACTGTAGGTGAGGCAGAGATTGCCAGAGTTCTGTACTATACAGGGGACAGTTTTTAGATAATGGCCCAGTAGTTTAAAATAAATGTGAAGATGGGACCATTTGTTGGCCCGGGCATCCCATAAAAAGGTGACTTTCTAAAGTTTGGCCAACTGTGTTGTTTCTTGGGTTTTGTCCTTTATTATGGACATCTGGCTAAGCGATAGAAAGCAGTAACATTCCATCAGGTTCTGTCACATGTAATGGTTAGCCATGCCATTTGTGTAATCTACATATTCTCATTGCTGTTCACTTACTTCATCCCAAGGGGCTTCCTTGGTAATCAAATATCTGAAGTAGTGGTGACATCCTCCAGCATTATGGCATCTGGCAAGAGATGGAGGGCAGGCAAGACCACTTCTCCCATATATGGGATATAGCAAGGAGCCCAGGTTTTGTCCGTCTTGTCTTAGTTTGTGGAGTGTTGTTTCCATGACCCAAAGTATAATGGACAATTGGGTATGCAGGGTCACAGGCTCAGGGTCCATGAGAAGCTCTATTTCTGGGACAGCCCAGTATATAGACAACAATTACTGTTTTATGACATGTAGTATGAGGCCAAGGCAGGAAAGTGTATTGCATCAGAAATCCTTGAGCAACTAATGGCCATCATGGGTGGTCCATAGATTCCAGGAGGCATGAGAAAAGGTTGCTAAAGCCTCTACAGCAGAGAAGTCTTTGAAGACACTAACAGGAGAGCCTGTTTTTAATTTGAAAGTAAAATTTGTAAATGAGGCATGTGTTCACACCAGAACCCCAAAAAGACTAAAGGATGTTGGGTAAGTGCCCTTAATAAGTATGTCAAATGAATCTCCATGGAAGAGAATATCATCAGTGTAATGTCAGACCTGTTCTCCTGGACAAAGGTGGATGCAGTTAAGATCTTGTTTGCAAAGATTGTGTGATGGCAAAGCTATTGAGGTACCCCATGGGTAACCTGGAAAAAGTGTACTGTGTGTCCTTCAGAGGTGGCAAATTGCAGCTTACAGGCTATTGTAATAGGTGCTGAACAGAACAGGTTAGTCAAATCTATAAGAGCAAAATGTTTACTGGTTGTTGATTGAATATAGTCAGTCATGTTAATATTGGATATCGGGAATGGGGGCCATCGTGTATGGAACCACAGTATTAAGGCTGTACTATTCCACCCTGAGGCGCCTATTATTTTTTCCAGGTTTAAGAAGAGGCAGAATTGGGTCATCAAAGGAGAAGCAGTAGGGAATAATCACCCCTTTATTAATTAGGTTTTATGTAGTAAATTTTAACCCTTAAGGGCTGTTTTAGATTACATTGGGCCATATTAACCATTTTAAACTGGGAGGTGGTTCATGGGGTCAGATTTTATCAAGCCAATTATAAGGGTTAAAGACTTAATTTTAATTTGGTATTCATTATGTTAGGGTAACTACATCCAATATGGAATACTTTAGGGCAATGGGTACTATGACTATGGGAAGTTTAGGCAAGGTGTTAAAGAAAAAAAATCAATGACACTTGTTAAAGATAGAAAGGCAGAATTAATATTTAGGACCATCTAGATAGGTATAGGGACCAGTGCAGGGGGATTTTGCAGTGTGGGAAAGAGATTGGGCTCAACTTCAAATACAGCATGGTGAAGTGGGAAGTTACATAGCCAAGGAGCAGCGTGGGGGAAATGGATGAACAGTTACTACTAAGGAAACATTAGGGGTAGGGGGATTCTGGCTAAACTGAAGATAGGCTTTGGTGATCTCCCTGTGAGATAAGGGAGGATGAGAAACCTGGTCAGATATCAAGGGTCATCATATACTGAGGATTCTAATTAAACTGACTTAGCAGAGTTCTTGCTTAAACTGGATTTTACAAAGAAGTACACAGTTAGGCCTAGGATATTGAGTGAAAGATGTTAGACAGAAAACTAATGCATACCATATGATTTTATTTATATGAAGTTCCAAACAGGTAAAATTATAGTGTTAAGAGTCAGATAGTGTTTTCATTTGGAGAGGAGAGAGGAGTAATGCTTTGTGTGAGACGTGACTGCCTCAGGGGTGTAGGAATTGCACTTACTTGAATGTATAATTCAACAAAATGTTTTTAAAAATTAGCTCAGCTATAATTTCCAAATGTTTGAATGTGATCAACAAAATGAACATAAAGCATTAGTAAGGAAGAGTAAAAATAAAGGCAAAAATTAGTAAAAAAAAAAAAAAGGCATAAGAAGTAGAAATGATGAATAATACTGAGAGGTGAGTTTTTTAGAAAAATGATAAAATAGATAAATTTTGGGCATTGTTTTACTTAGCATTCTACGCACTCCATACTATGTCCTATAATAGCACCAAGGGGACAGTGTCATATCTATGATTTGAGTGTTTCTAAACCCTGGTGAAGGAAACCAGTATTCTAAGTTTATTTTGTGAGCTGTGAAATTATTCTAATATTTTGGTTCAAAAGTTGAATATCACTTTTTAGACAAGTCAGGTGTTGCCTTTCAAGAGTCTTCTGAAAAGGTTGTTTTCCTATTCTGCCACTATCTTTCCTAGAACCAGTCCTGAGTTCATTAAGAAAAATGTTTGGGTGTATGTGTGTGTGTTGGGGGAGGTGAAGGGTAATATTCCTTAAACATTCATTTACTTTTTTCCATAGCACTTACCACCAACTACAAATTTATATGTTTACAAATCTCCTTGGCCCTCTGGAATGTGAGATACCTAAGATATGGGACAATTTCTCTATAATTCAGTACTTTCTCTTTAGTGCCTAGTGTTTTATGTGGCAAAGAGAAGAGAAGAGAAGACTTAAACTGTCTGGTCACACTGGTGTGATGTGGCTCAAGGCTACATGCATGCAACAGCCCTTGTCAGGCAGGCTATGTCAGGGGTTCAGAAGTCATTTCCCACAGGCCCAGCCAAGGGTGGTCCTAAAGACAGGCCTTTCTTGGGAAAGCATGGAGTTTGAGCAACCCAGACCTGCTGAATTCATCACTTCCTGCACACCATTTTATGATTATCTTCTAGTCATACTAGAGAATAGCAATAACCTCAGGAGTTCAGGTTTTTTATGACAGTAACGTACATTCAGACCCTAGCTCACCACTTCCTAAGTGGTCATCTTTGGCCACTTCTGTCAGAACTCAATTGCCTCAGCTACTCAGTGGTAATCACATGAGCTACCATTGTTTCTGGCACACTTTGGGTACTCTGTAAATGGCAGTTGTTATTTATATTCATGTAGTGTGCTGTGGAGTTGCTAATGACTCTCACACATATAATTTCATCTTTTGCAGAGAGATGGCTAATGAGTGATGCTTGATGACAGATGAGTAATGCTTATTGCTAAAGATTGAAGATATGAGGCAAGACTTCCTGTTACTACTTAATCAAGAGGAATTAAGATTGAAACTCACAGTCTTAAAAAGACTTTGGGAACAAGAAGTGTTGAGGCAGATTTCTCAGTCAGACTCACAGGATGCCAGCCACCAATCTCTCCCCTTGTGGTAAGTCCCTTTGTTGCTCCAACTCCGACCCATGAACTGTCTGTCTTGGGATCAGGGTCTCAGCAGTCTTGCTTCTAGGCTGTCTAGGTGGGTTACGTAAGTAAGATTGTCTAAATCCTGAGATTAGAGAAGAATGGGTAAGTATGTGTTTTTGTGGGAGAGGGGGTCTATTTAATCATTTGATGAATTATATCGTTGTTGGCAATGAACTCCACCTCTCTGGATTTTAGTTTCTTTATCTTTAAAATGGGATTATTAAACTCTTCCTCTTACTTATCAAAGCCAAAACCACTTTTCTGACTTCAGATGAGATAAGACTGCTTGGGGATTAAACAGGAGGTGTGTGTGTGTGTCTCCATTTGTCTGTGTGCCCACCCATATAGAATTAGTGTGGAATGGCGCTTCCAGGCTTGTGAGTGTAGAAACTGGGCAACTTGGGTTTTCAGATTTTATTTCTTCTCCTCAAGGTTGTCTTTCTTAAGACTTTTCCTGTCTCCATGAAGAGAAGTTAGAGGGGGGAAAGGATTATGACTGGATGTCTGATGCATTATTCTCAGGTAAGTAGGAAATGTATATTTTTTATTAACGTACATGTTTCTTTCTACCTGTTAGACATGTTTCCTTCTAGTGGAACAGAGCAAATAGGGTCTTCTTAGGGACTGAGTCCCCACCTGAATTTTCTCAGGTCTCGGGGACTCGGGTGTGTGGTTGACAGATTACAAGGGAGAAGATACCATTATCCCAATATTTACTAAATTTGGTCTGACACTCATCCAAGCTGATTATGTGCTCTCATTTTGTTATGCTACACAGTGAGAGTGTGAGCGTGGCCCACTAAGAATTTGTGTTATCACACGATGGAAAGATTAATTCATTTACCAGCATTTATGATGTCTATAATGTATGTGCTTGGCACTGTGCTAACTTCTGTCAATAGAGAAAAATAAAACCAGAAGAGGTCACAGTCTAGTTGTGGGAGATACATACATTCATTCAGGTGAAAGAGATGCTTGTAAAGCTGTGTGACTGGTTGAGGTTACCAGTGAATATGTCCAGGTAGAGAGAAGGGGTGTGAGGACTGTTGAGCCGTAGGGGAGATAATGATGGGAGACTGTGGAACACTGTCTAGACATTGGGTCTCTTTCCTTTTTCTCCATTGAACAGGGGTGGAAGTGGCGATTGCCTGCTGCTAGAATGTTTGGGACTGTTTAAGTCCCAGTGACTTCTAAGGATGTAGCTGTGGAATTCAACCAGGAGGAGTGGACTTTGCTGGCTCAAACTCAGAGAAACCTGTACAGAGATGTGATGCTGCAGAACTATAAGAATCTGGTTGCAGTAGGTAAGACTGGTACCATTTCTTCATTTAGTTTTTCTCTGGAACAAATATTTTTTTGAGTAACTGTATTCTAGGCTCTGTATTGATTAATGGGAATGCAGTGGTAAATAGAGAATACATGTTTCTGCTTTCATGTCAAGGGGCTTTCTCATGAAAATGAAGATCTGTTCATCATACTAGCTTTATTTTCTCTATGGATAAAATACTTAGGACTTGAAAAATGTGTATATAAGCTTGAGCCTGGATTTCAGGGGAAATATCAGCAACCCTTTTTGTGTATTTTGAGAGAGCAAGTATGTGTTTGATTTGGAAGTTTACTGGTTTAGTAGAGTTGGCCTGAACATTTGTTTTTTCTCAAGTTATACTTGATAGTACTTGGTATCCCTGCAGAGCAGAATCTTGGTCCGCGATTTATGAAAGTATGTGCCTTCTTTTGCCATGTTCTCACATGAAGGACCTTTCTGTAAGAGCAGGGCACCAGCTATGCATACCTGGTCTGGTCCTTCAGGTAGAACAAAGACGAAGAGCTGAAGACACTGGGGAAAGTTCTTCAAAGTGAGGGGGGAAAGGCAGATGTGATTCTTTTAGAGAAGTAGTCCTTACCCATGAGAGCTGCAGTCCATTTAGAAATGCTCAGTAGGAAGCTTTTGAAGATGTATTTTGCTTTTCTAAGAATGCTGAGGCCATTTGGTTTGTGAGGTTACTTGAGTACCTTACACTTCCCTTTTTAAGTTTTCATCTACCTTCTGAAACTTCCTTTCAACCCATTTCTTTTTTAGATTTTAAGTTTAGTTCTTTATACATTTTTTTCAACTTTGTTTTCCTGGTTATGGTGCTTTCTGTTCACTATAAGTCTCAACATTTATAGAATCATTTCTTATTAATCTCCTACCAATTTGACAACAGCATCTTATCATTCTCAAACTCTTAATACAGCCAGACTTCTCAACCTCTTATATTTTCATTTCTTTGTTTGTATTTTTAATATATTTTAAGTCAGTGCTTGAAAGCAAATACACAGTGGCCTTCGTTTTTAGTATCCTCCTTCTATCATTTATTTCTCCAAAAATTTAATTTTTTTATCTTATTTCAGATTAGGAGATTTGTCTAAATGCCAAATGGTCAGCACCAGAGCAGAATATTTTGCAAGGGAAAATTCCTACATGGTGGAAGTGGTAAGATTCATATGCTGTAATTCCTTGCTTTCCACAATGGTGGGAGATTGGAAATTCCATAAGATAGAAAAGCAGCACAATAATCATGACAGACATTTACGGCTAATGATATTCACCCAAAATGAAACTGTTTCTCATAGAGTCTCTGAGCATCATGAATTTGGCAAATACCTTATATACCCCTAATAATGACCTGTTTTTACAGTGTTCACTCCACTACATATTCTCATATAAGGAATTCAGATGAAGTTTTTGATAAATTGTCTTGATCAGTTATCATCTGAACTATATAAGAATCCCCACAAAAGTAAAGAATACAACGCTAGCAGAATGTTCACATCATTCTACTTGAAAGCACTCAGGTTTGGAACCACGCATTGGAGTAAAAATGGAAGAAAAAAAAACGAATAAAAACCTTTAATCATAATGGTTTGTTTTCTGTGTAGTATGACAATTCAAGGCAGAGGGGAGATCTTTGAAAGTAATAAAGCTGGAAAACTTTTATGAGTAATCACAGCAACAGGAGTGGAGCCACACTGGAGAGGAATTGTTTACATTTAACTACTATGAAGAAGTCCTGAGTGAACTCTCATGCCTTAAAGCTCACCAGAGAACTTACATTAGAAAGAAAACTTGGAAGTGTAATCATTGTGAAAAAAGCCTTCACATAGAACTTTGCCTGTGATTTACACACACAAAAAACCCATACTGTAGAGAAACCTCGTTAATGTCATCATTTTGAAACAGCCATCAGCCAAAATCCACATCTTCTCGTTCACAAGAAAACTTACACTCAAGAGAAACCCTGTAAATGCAGTGACTATGGGAAAGGCTTACATTCTTCTTCACATCTTAAGAGAACTATCAGAATTCTTAGTGGAGAGAGGCCCTATGTTTTTAAGCAATGTGGGCAAGTTTATTATCATTTGACAAGCCTTTTTATACACATGTACACTCACCATGGAGAAACACCCTATGAATGTAAAGAATGTAGGAAAACTTTACTCAGTCTTCATAACTTATTCAACATTTCAGAACTCATAGTGGGCTGATACCTGAGGAATATAAGAAATTTGAGAAAGCCATTCCTTATTCCCTTAATCTTGCCAAACATAAGATTTCATACTAGAGAGAAACACTATGTAGGAGTGTGGCAAAGAGTTTGTGTCTCAAAACTGAATATTCACATGTGAGTTCACACTGGGAGAAAATCATGTGAGTATCAGTGTGAGAAAGCCTTACACTGATTGTTCAGGTCTTACAAAACACAATTCACTGGAGAGAAGGCCTATGAACGTAAGGAATATGGAAAAGCCTTTGCTACTCCTCACACCTTATTGCACATATGAGAGCTCACAACAGCAAGAAACCTTATCACTGTAAGGAATGTGGGAAACTCTTGAGTAATTCATCTTGCTTTAAAAGTCACATGCAGACTCTCTGGAGTAAAACCCTATCATTGTAAGCAGTGTGGGAAAGGCTTTATTAAATCTTTATTTCTCCTTCAGCATTTAGGAATTCACAGTGTAGAAAAACGTTTTGAATGTAAAGAATGTGGGAAAGCATTTAAATATTTTTTGTCGCCCTGGCTGGCGTAGCTCAGTGGATTGAGCATGGGCTGCGAACCAAAGTGTCGCAGGTTCTATTCCCAGCCAGGGTACATGCCTAGGTTACAGGCCATAACCCCCAGCAACCGCACATTGATGTTTCTCTCTATCTCCCTCTCTTCCCTCTCTAAAAATAAAGAAATAAAATCTTTTAAAAATAAAAAAATATTTTTTGTCAACATAAAATAACATACTGGAGAGAAGCCACACAAATGTAAAAATGTTGGAGAGCCTTCACTATTTCCTCAGACCTTAGAGTACACATGAGAACACTGGTGAGGAACCTTTTGAGTGTAAGGTGTATGGAAAAGCCTTTACTGGGTACTCATATCTTACTCAACATTTAAGAACTCACAGTTGGGTGATGCCATATATATGACGAACGGAAGAAACCCTTTAGTAAATCCTCATGCCTCACTGAATGTATTAGAATTCTCATGAGCCCTGGCTGGTGTGGCTCGATGCATTGAGTGCCAGCCTGTGAACCAAAGGGTCACCGGTTCGATTCCCAGTCAGAGTACACACCTGGGTTGTGGGACAGGTCCCATTAGGGTCATGTAAGAGGCAACCACGTGTTGATGTTTCTCTCCCTCTCAAAAAAAAAAAAATTAGTTCTTGAGAGAACATTATGCTTGTAAAGAAGAGGGGAAAGCTTTCACTACTTTCTCACACTTACTGCACATGCACTTAATAACCTTAATTGTAGGAATGTGAAATGTCTCTAGCTCTGCTTTACACCTTAATATTCATCAGTGATTTCTCAGGTGTAAAAAATCTTACAAATGTAAGAAGTGTAGGAATGTTTTCAGTTTTTATCCTCTGCTTTGGGAACGTGTAAAACCACACATAATGAGAGCCAATGAGCAACAGGGATACAGGAAAGCCTTGGATTGTTTCTTGTTATTAGGAAACATGATTCACTCTAGAGAAGCACTATAAATTATAAATAGGGAGTGTGGGAAAAGCTGTGTTAATTTACCATACGCATAAAAAGTCACACGATAGTCTGTATGAGAGTTAAGTGTTTTCAGTAAATATACTTTTATAAAAGTAAAAATCCTAAAATGTTTTAATGGTTAATGAAAAACCTTTGTTGCAAAAAGCTTTTTAAATAAAACCTAAAAGAGCCCTGGCTGGTGCAGCTCTGTGGATTGAGTGTCGTCCTGCAAACCAAAGGGTTGCCAGTTTGATTCCCAGTCAGAGCACATGCCTGGGTTGTAAGCCAGGTCTCCAGGAGCGGGTGTGCGAGAGGCAACTGCACATTGATGTTTCTCTCCCTTTCTCGTTCCCACCCCCTCTCTCTAAAATAAAATCTTCAAAAAAAAAAGTAAATTTTAAAAATCTGTTTAAAAGTTTTGTTACTGATAAAGAGCATTGGAACTTCATAGGATCTCAGATCTCCTTTACATTCTTCAAAATTAAGCACCCAATTATGGATGTTATATCTATGATTATTTAACATTAGAAAGTAAGATAAAATTTTAAATATTTATAATTCATCTAATAATATAACATTCATGAAAAATAACAATATTCCATAATAACAACCAAAAAATGTGAGAAGTGACAAAAAGTACCTTCTTAACCAACTTTTAGTCTCCTGAACCTAGGTCCATTTGTGTATTCTAAACTCTAGTCATAGCAAGAACCCTAAGTCAATGAAATAATAGTTCACCATCCTCCATATCTGATCACTTTTAATATATAATCTAGTCCACAGTTTTTACCATCCTTCAGCTGATTTGTCATCACCCTGCTCTGTCTTCAGCAACTATTCTGTTAGGTCAGTTTAGCCAGAATCCCCCTTACCTTTGATGTTTTCTTTTAGTAGTAATTTTCCATCCATTAACCCCCATGCTGCTCCTCAGCCATATCTTCTCACTTGCCGATGTCAAATTTGGAGTTACGACCAATCTCTCCAATGCTGTAAAATCCTATTGCATTGGTCCCTCTACCTATCTAGATGGTCCTAAATATTAATTCTGCCTTTCTATCTCTAACAAGTGTCATTGATTTTTTTTCTTTAACACCTTGCCTAAATTTCCCATAGTCATAGTACCCATTGCCCTAAAATATCCCATATTGGACATAGGTACTCTAACACTGAATACCAAATTAAAATTAAGTCTTTAATACTTATAATTGGCTTGATAAAATCTGACCCCATGAACCACCTCCCAGTTTAAAATGGTTAATATGGCCCAATGTAATCTAAAACAGCCCTTAAAGGTTAAAATTTACTACATAAAACCTAATTAATAAAGGGGTAATTATTCCCCACTGCCTCTCCTTTGATGGCCCAATTTTGCCTCTTCTTAAACCCAGAAAAAATAACAGGTGCCTCATGGTGGAATAGTACAGCCTTAATACTGTGGTTCCATACACGATGGCCCTCATTCCTGATATCTGATATTAAAAGGACTGACTCCATTCAATCAACAACCAGTAAACATTTTGCTCTTATAGATTTGACTAACCTGTTCAGTGCCTATTACAACAGCCTGGAAGCTGCAATTTGCCGCCACCTCTGAAGGGACATAGTACACCTTTTCCAGGCTGTCCATGGGGTACCTCAACAGCTTTGCCATTGAGTTTTCTTTTCTATATGAGGAGCATGTTTATGATGAGATTTTGTAATTCTCTTTATTTAATAGATGGCAGCTGGATTCTCATACCCACTTCTGCATTCAGTTGTTTGCCATAAGTTTTTTTGAAGTAAATATAGGAAATTTGGCTTCAGTGAAATACATAGTTGGAAGAGGGAGAAGTATTTTCAGATAAGTTTGGATATTATTTGATTCTTCACCAAAACTCAACTAATATTTGCTTAAAGTGGAATAGTTACTTGCACAGTGGAATATGAAATTTTGCTGGTGAACTCCCTACTTTGTTAAAGTCCTTTGCTTTGCTTTGTACTTTGGACATTTTAGCTATGCACAGTTTGTGCCATTATGTGTTATGGAAAAGAGTTAACTGCATTATGCATATTTTTCTAATGACCTATTTTCTTATACAACATCAAATAGCATTCACTAATATTATGTCAGAAAAGTTTGTAAATGTTGAGAAGTTGCCATAGTCATGGTCACAGATACAAGTTTTTCAAAATTTTCTTCTCCTTCAAGGACATTGTTAAGGAAAACTGGATTTTTTTAAAAGGGAGTGTGTGGCAGTGGAGAATACTACAGTTGTTTGTGCAACTTGCTGCCTCTGCCTTGGTTTCTGCTAAGGCACCAGAACTTACCCACCACTGCTTGTATCATCATTAGAAATACCATGATGAAAAGGTAAATAACTTAGAACTAGCATAAAAAAAATAAAAATAGTTTTGACCTCACATATGCCCTGAAAGTGTTTCAGGTCCCTGGGAAGTCTGGAAACCATAGTCTGAAA